GATCACTGGGGGGGTGAACTATTCCTTTAATGAAGAGAAATGTGAAAGGTATCGATTTTCTCATGTAAGCCCAGGGAAGAAGTGTATTGAAGTGTATTTTCCAAAACGTCAATCCATTCCTTTAATTATGGCAACATTACAGAAAGAAAGTTATACGTTTTCAAGTAAATTGAACATGTTCTGTTGGTTATTCAAACTGTGGTTGACTCTCTTCTTTTACCTTCAAGGGACTGTCTACATCAAAAATACTGTCCCCTGGGTCAGGAGCAGCCTCAGTGAGGCAAAGGGATCTTTGGTTTGAGAGCAACACTACCCTGAATGGAGGAGAGGATCAAGTACTCATAGGAGATTCCTACCTTAAAGAAGGGATTAGTGCAAGCCAGCACAACAGCTCCTTGTCAAGAAGAGGGAGGGGTGAGACAGTCCACTTTGATTTAAACTGACACTGTATCCCTGATTTACCTTTCTCCCAGGATGTGCCCTTAGTTCATCATCCTAAGGCTTCAGATACACATAAACACAGCAGTTTTTCCACAGGAGTTGCATGTCGTAGCATAAAGCTGTCACATTCTGATTCCTGTTTCAGGTTCACTGTCGCCAAGGGCTACCTGCAGCTCTCAGCGGTGTGTCAGCGTAGATGCTGCCTGCTGTTGTGTGTCACAGAATCGACATCCTGGCAGCGTTGCCAGGGGAAACATCAATGAGCAAATAGCTACAGCTCTGCTGAGGCTGCAGCATGACATGGCCACGGTTTTGCACAGGCTGCACGCTCTGGAGGCACTAACGGTTTCACAGGTGAGAGACCAGAGGTGTTAGCCACAGTGTTTACTGAGCTATGATATTGTTGATGATTGTCTCCATGACAACTTATTATACATAGATATCTACATTTCCTTTTAAATTTTTCAGTCAAGATCATCTTCACCAAGGCAGGAGGACTCTCTACCTGTAGCACAAAAGGTTTTTATTTGATTTCTATTTAAAAATCAAAAAAAAAAAATCTGTTTCGTAAAGGTCCAGTGTCTAGGATTTAGGGGCATCTATTGGCAGAAATGGTATATAATAAACATATTGTATTTGTATATATGTTTTCTTGGTGTATAGTCACCTGAAACTAAGAATTGTTGTGTTTTCATTACCTTAGAATGGTCCATTTATATCTACATACGGAGCCGGCCCTCACAGAGTCCGCTATGTTGTTCTACAGTAGCCTAAAATGGGCAAACCAGAAAGGGCCACTCAAGTTTTTGTGTTTCGTGTAGTCTGATAGTGCATCCGTCCCACAGGCAATACTTTGGCCTAATACACACTTACATGCCTGGAAGATGATCAGCTCTGCATTCAGGATTTCTGTTAAGTAGGCTATGATACAGTGCTGGTTATGGTAGCTTAGCAACCTCAGACGCAACCTGCCTCTTCGCTCTTGAAAGCTGACACAGAGTAGGCACAAGAGCAGCACCCAGCGCCTGACCTCATGTTTTTCAGGTGGTTAAAGACACGGCGTGTGTACGGCCACATAAAGAGACATAACAACCACAAAGAGACGCAAAACCACAACAAAGACTGCATGTCTTGCTCCTCTGTAGGAAGGGTGGTGGGGCCCTTTGCATATCTGTGCCCGGGGACTCATTGTCTCATAATCCGCCCATGGTTTCAGTTGGGTGCAGCCTTGCAGCTAGATGCCTTTAAATCCTACTCATTAGACCTATAAGGCTCCGATCACACAGAAAACATTTGCAGGTTGCAAAACGTGAGGCGCACCACACTGCCTTTTTAAAAAATTGAATGCCACTAGTAAAAAAATGTTTGTTGCGTCTTTTTATTGTTGTCAGTCAACCACCCCGTCACGTCCTCACACTAACTTTCCCATGATATCAATCTTCCGTCTTTTCCCCAGTAGCCTAATGAGTATCTTGTTTCTAAAATGTTGAGGCAGAGGGTACTTGCTGTAGCTCTGGTTGAGGGTGAGAGGCTCTCAGTTAATAGTTTGTTGGTCACAGGGAAACAGAGATCTGTGTGGGTACACGAGACCCTAAAAAAGAGGGTGGATCATGGGAAGTACCATCAACTGGTCCAGGAGCTTCGCCTCCATGATGCTGTTTCCAGGCATATTTTAGGATGACTCGGGGGCATTTCGACAACCTGCTGTCTATCGTTGGGCCATATAGCTCTGGGTATCCAGCAACCACTACTACTAGTTTCTCCTCCATTGTTTACCAACTGTAAACTTCTTGTCGTGAGGCCTGCCTGGGGAAAAAATATGACAAAAGAAAAAATGGCGTGGGGTGCTTTTACACTCTGATTAGAAGTTTTGTTCAAACTTGAGGAGTTCAAAGCACTTTGCGAAAAACGCCAGGTGCCTACAGCACAGAAATGTGAGGCATGTGACATCGCATAAAAACATTTACAAAAAGGTGCCTCCAGATGCTAAAACGCTTTCTGTGTGATCACAGCCTAAGGGTACCAGATGCACATAGTTTCTAGTAATTGAATGTGATGTGTATTCATATGAATGAGAACAGTATTTCAGTCATATAAAGAAAAACCTGTAATTTGCACTAAGTACATGCAGGCGAGATGTAGCAACCTCACCGCTAGATGCCACTAAATCCTACGACCAATTATGAACCCGTTATGACCAAGTTGTATCCAATCAGGAAGCAAACATTTGCCTTATGCACGTTTCTATTTTTATAGTTTCTGAGACCGTCTTGGTGGCCTTTTGACTTCTCTCCACTCACAGCGGTGTTGACTGCACTCTGGCCTCTGATTGCTCATTGGCTCGTCCAGCTTTACTTACAGCGGAGGAGGAGGTGAGCAAAGTACCGAATAATGACTTGGTCTGTTATTTATAGCAACACTACACTACCAAAATCACTTTCACCTTTTCTTCTCACAGGAAATTCCCCTGAACTGTCAGACGTCAGCATCAATCAAAGAACACAAACCTGGAAGGAAATTGTTGCACTTTTGTTGCTTTGTGGCTTTTTCAAGCCGCCACCACAGACGGAGAATAATGAGGCACCAGATGGAAAGGAGACCTTAGATAAACGGACTGGAGTGCAATGGCTGACTCTACAATATAGTGTAGCATTTTAACTTCACAGATACTTTAAAGGTGTTTTAATGAAGGGAAGATTTGTGCATTATAAATGCTGGCACATTTTCTTTGTTACAGTGAGTTTAGCATTAGGCGGTGATCTTATTTATGACATGTCTCAGATCACCAGGAACTTAATATACCCATAACTCTAATTCATCATCATACAGTGGCTGTGGATCATAAAGCGATGCCCAATTGTCATTGCCAGTTATTTTATTTATTGTACATTTCATTGTTTGTTTAGCTTTCTCTTAATGTTTTTGTTGAAGTTTTTTTTTCAGATAACTAAGAACTTTTATATTTATTGTTGGAAATATAGAAATATTTTAGCTGCATTTCTCTTTAGACCAAATAGACATGGTGACCAATATTGTTATTTATGTGTAAACGTATATATTTATTTTATGGCTTCAGTGCAATTAAGTGAAAGGTTGCACATTTACAGAAGGCGAGATACAGAGTATGAGGACAATCCATATATCCATTCTTGTTAGCTGTACAGTGAAAAAGAAGAATTCTCTGTTAAAGCAAGGGTGTGGTGCTTTCAAATATACAGTTGTTAAACATAAGTATATGAAGCAAATTTTGACATGCAATAAACACATTATTGAGTCAAACATATTTATTGTAGTGAATCTTTAAGTTTTGTGGACAAAGTCAAGGTAACGGCTGACAGACTTTCTTTAAAAAGGTAGTTCTTTTCAGTCAGTTTAAACTCGTTTTAGTTTTGGTTCCATTCAGTTTTATTAATATAGACCAATATCACAAATCACAGGGCATGATGGTGCAGTTGCGGCTTGGTGGTGCAGTGGTTGTCGCCTCACAGCAAGAGAGCTCTTGGTTCAAAGCCAGGGTGGGGAGTTGGATCCCCGGTGTGGGGGGAGCCCCTCTTTGTGGAGTTTGCATGTTCTACCTGTGTCAGTGTGGGTTGGTGTGTGATAGTCTGGGGACCTGTCACCCACCTCTAACCTAGTGTCAGCTCGGATAGGCTCAAGCTAGTGATGGCCAAATGAAGCCTCATGAAGCATTTTCTTTATTTTCTGAGCCCACTAGATGGCACTCATGGTTTAAAGCGAGAGGCTCAAAGAATGGCAATGCAGTGTGCTTTCAACCTTTTGTTGAACAAAAAGCGCCATCTAGTGGGCTCAGAAAAATACAGAAAATGCTTCATGAGGCTTCATTTGGCCATCACTAGCTCCAGCCCCCCCAACAGGACAAGCTTATGGAAAATGAATGCCTGAATGAATCAGAAATCACTATTTGCCTCAGAGGGCTTACAACATACAACACCCTGTGCCCTTGGATCCTCACAGAGGATAAGGAAACACCAGTGAAGCCAGTGAAGTTGCTGGAGAACAGGGTTGATATGATCTATGGAGGGGGTTCTAGTGATGACATGGGTGGCTGAATTCTGGACCAACTGGAGTTTATGAAGACACTTGAGAGGGAGACCAAAGAAGACAAAATTGCAATCTTCAGCTGAGCAAAGGATTGTGGGTCAAGCTGGCTTGCATAATGCAGAATACAACCTGATGTAGTAGAACATCCTGGTATTTTTGGCATACTTAATTTGACATACAATGTATCAGCACGTACTAAATCTTTTTCTGGCATACTATATAGGATGGTAGAATGGGTACTGGAACACACAGGGAGACATAACTCCCCTAACAGTGCTTAAAAAATGACACCACCCTCTCCTCTCTAATAAATAACGAACAGTCCCTAAGCTTACAGAGACAATATCGCATGTATCACATTTTAGACTACTGTAAATCATCATTGAATCATTTTTACATTAACTGAATTAGCGGAACTTCAGCGAGGCCAGAAAAAGGAGAACCCATTTCCACAGGGGTGCAAAATTTGTCACTACATGTAGACGTCACATCCGGTTTATCTTGTGCCGCTGGTGAAGTTCGCAGTCTGAATTGCTATGCCTGTTACTGAGAGATAAAGAGACAGAAACACGGACCTTTAACTCTCAGGGACAGCGGTGTAACATGAGTGGTTTTACGGCTGTGGTGAACCAGTGAAGACTGAAAATGTTTTCCATGTCAATGACTGTCCAGCCACAGGTAAGAGAGCAGGAAACGTTTGGCCGAGCTAACGTTAGCATTGTTGTTGTTTTGGTTTCCACTGGTGAGTTAGCTAGCGAGCTAATTTAACCTTAGCTTGTTCTCTTGTGAGACAGACCACTGTCGACCTCTGATGGTTTGAAAGCGTTACCTTCACGTCAGTGGACACTGTGTCAATGTTGTTATCTTTCTATTTATCCAGTAATAAAGTGAAATAAAGTGTGTGCGGGCCGCTGGGAGAAGTTTAAGCTAGCGTTAGCTTCGCTTCAGTGTGTCCTTAGCTGTCAGATGGGAAACTGCGTCAGTGAGCGACATGTTTGACCACTGACTGCATATTCAAATAAAAAAGCAGTCCAACCAACTTTTCAACCAATAAGCGATAAGCACCTGTATGTGGCTGTCTTTTTATTTAGAGTTAGGTATAAACTTGATTGAGCTCAACACCAGCTAGCACCAGCTGTACTTTGCCTGTGATTGCAAACAGTCTCTATGTAAACTGCCTTCAGGCGACCTGACAAAAAGGTGCAGGTTGACAATCATAACATGTATGATAGCTGTCATTGTGTCTGTTTGATCACAGGTGACTGTACCTCTGAGCCACCTCATCAATGTCCTGCACTCTATGAAGAGCTCAGTGGGGAGCAGCAGCAGCAGTGCCACCTGCAAATCAAGAAGACACAAGGAGCATGTCTCAGACTCAGAGCTACACCACACAGAGGTATGCGTTAGTAGGACACAATCTGTAATGGCTTGTGTGTCAAGTCAGCGACAGTGTGATGCTGCACTTGGTTGTGTTCATTCTCCCAAGTAGGGGTGGGTGATATGGCCCTTAAATAATATCATCATAAGAGAGCTGTGAGCGTCACGTAGGTTTACATTATTAAAGGTTCAGTCACTTGACGACACCGACTCCTGTGTGCACGGCGAGAGAGGAGAGGGAGAGACGCTGTGCTGCTGCCAGAGGAGCTGCTGAATGAGTTCCCTCTGAGCGGTAAGTCACTAAAAGAGTCTGAGAAGTCCGGGGCTGTTCATAAAACATTCAGGACGCCACAGTTTATTCCACACTGCTGAAGCTGCTCCTCTTTGGAGCCACCACTGTTCGCCACTGTCTGATGTATACTGTCTTGGTTCATCCTGTCATAGAGTAGAAGGTCAGTGTGGGTTGGGCTGATGGAGAACAAGGGAAACTGATATTACACTCTTCCTCTTGTCACTTGTATGACTGCAATGGTGCTTCTCCTCCTGTATACAAACAACAAACAGTCGATCACAAAATGGTATTATATGTTTGTGTTTACAGCCCCTGTGGAACCTGCGTGAGCTTGGTCTGTCAGACCTGGGAGCACAGCAGCTGGATGAGCTGGTGAACAGCATGTTACCACGCTTGAGTCCACAGGAGGCGCCACTTCCATTGGGTGGACAGACAGCCTGGAGGACATCACATCTTTCTACGCACTCCTTTTACCATAATAAGCATGGTGAGAATGAAAAACAGGCCTCCAATACTGCACCTTGTACCACTTAAATAGATGCTCGACTCCTCATCATTACTCATGAATGAATGAATACAGCATGCCAGGACTTCAAAATATGCAATAAGTCTAAATATGGTGTTTCACTTGACTGCTTAGAATTGCAGAGTTTCTCTTTAGTGGAGGCAGTAACAGCATCTGTCTCCAGATTCTTTCTTTTAAAAAGCAACTCAGGCCTCTGAGACCACTTGTTCCTAAAGGTATCTCAGAGTTAACAGTTACACCGTGTCCTCTGTTCCCAGGTTTCTCATGCGGTGCAATGCCGATGTCTTACTCCAGGCTGCACCCTTCACCTCTTCAGTCCGTCTGCACAGAGCTGCAACACTGGCCAGGTAACTGTGCATCACTGTGTCAGAATTTACTGATCAAAAGCTTTGTATTCAGTCACTACTAATGAATTACTAGAGTTGGTTTGTATGTTATTTAACAACAATATAAATAACATTACTGAGATTTTAATAAATATTCCAGTTAATTGTCAATATTTTCTTTGGTGTCATTTTTTATATCTACATTGCAAATTAACAAGTAGCAATGTCTATGCTGATCTAGTAAAGTTAAGTGCCGTGGAAACATGGTCAGCTTTTTAATCTGATTTTTAAAATCTTTTTGGATATTTTAAGTGTTTGTCCCGAGCCGAGGCTTTAAAACTTTAAAGAGCAAAACCAGACGACTGCAGTTAGCCCCCGACCGCCCCCTGGAATCTGAGGGATTCACACCATCTTTTATGAAGGTCAGTACTTCTACATGTTCACATGCTTAACATGCATAAAGCTGGAGTAGGTGGTTTAATCTCAGTCCTATCCCATTATAAGCTTTAAGCATATTGTAATTCAAGTGGTCTGAGAGAACGCTAGACTTCTGTTCCTCCACTGAACCATGCAAGAAAGTAAAATTGAGGAAAAGTTAGCAGTTTGTGTTCTTCCTAGCCTGAGTCACCAACAGGCCTGTCAATTTATGACTGAAATATGTTTGTTCTTATTTAGTGAGCTAATATTATGAGCTTTACAGCTATGATAGCAAACTAATTGACAGCTGCATACGTTGTCTGACAGCAAAATAAGGGACAGGAAACTAAAAATAAAGGCGGAGCAGATGCACCTTAAGTTTTCAGGTTTACGAAACGTGTCTAGTCTGATGGCCCTGAGAGTGAAGGTGTATTCTGGCTTTGTGAACACAGCTGACCAACCTTACCTTGTGCTGCAGGGTTTCCTGACGCGTGACAAGGGGATTGAAGTAGAAAGTATAGACAGCCTGCTAAAGACCAAGAACTTACCTGATGGCCAGCAGGATGCTTTCAAGAGGGGCTTTGCCGAGGGTTTCCTGAAAGCCCAAGCCCTGACACAGCGCACACAAGGCAAATTTTAATACAAATCTCAAAACCGTTATTCTGTTATGAAGATTTAAACAGTACTGATGTTTATTTTTTCTGCTCGGACTGTTCAGACTCTCTCAGGAGGACTCGTCTGATCCTGCTGGTGCTGCTTCTTGTTGGGCTGTACGGTATCTCCAAGACCCCCTTCATATCGGGTAAAGGCTCCTTTTCTCCTCTAAAGCTGCTTTTTAATTTCATGTCACACATGAAATCACCTGCGATATGTTAACATTTTAATATATCAAAACATTGATGTTAACAATAAAGCTCAGCATTTGCCTGCTAAACTAATCGATGCATACTGAACATGCTTTAACTAGTGCTGCAACTAATGATTAGTTTCACAGTCAATTAATCTGTTAGTCATTTTCTTGATTAGTAGTTTAGTTGTTTGGTCTATAGAATGTCAGAAAGTGTTGATCTATGTTTCCCAAAGCCCAAGATAACATCCTCATATGTCTTATTTTGTCCACAATCCAAAGATACTCAATTTACTTTCACAGAGCTGTAAAGAAACCAGAAAATATTCACATTTAGGATGCTGGAATCAGATTTTTTTTTACCTTTTTTCTTTAAAAAAATTACTCAAACTCATTAATTGATCATTAAATAAGTTGCAAATTCATTTAATAGTTGACAATTAATCCATTAATCGTTGCAGCTCTAGCTTTAACCTGACTAAGCTTGGTAAATCTGAGCCATTTTCTGCTCTTTGCTGTCAGTAACAACAACAAATTCTAAACTGCAGTGTTAAAGCATTAGACCGTACATGCGATCAGATATGGTTCTTGAGTAATACTCAGTAACAGGCAGTGTGTGTGTTTGTGTGAGTTCATTAACCGTGCCATGCAGTGTGATTTCGAACTTTAATCTAACCATTTTGGATAGTACGGTTCCGAACCACATCAGGCCTGGACTCTGCGGTGGACCCTGTTCAGATGAAAAATGTGACCTTTGAGCACGTCAAAGGGGTGGAGGAGGCCAAGAATGAGCTTCAGGAAGTGGTGGAGTTCCTGAAGAACCCACAGAAGTTCACAGCCTTGGGAGGAAAGCTGCCAAAAGGTAGGGCTGTCTTTCACGGTGCATTTTTAAGATGGACGAAAAGCTTAGTAGTTTTTGTAAATTCTTCACTCCTGTGTTATATGTGATGACTTTTCAGCTGCACAATTCCATTCAGGGATCTGCTTTATTTTCCTCATGTCCTCCTCCTCGTCTCTCTCCACTTTAGGTGTTCTACTGGTTGGCCCTCCGGGGACTGGAAAGACTCTACTGGCCAGAGCGGTGGCAGGAGAGGCAGATGTGCCGTTCTACTACGCCTCCGGGTCCGAGTTTGACGAGATGTTTGTTGGAGTGGGAGCCAGCCGCATCAGGAACCTTTTCAGTGAGATTTTTATTATTTTAATATCAAAATCGACCTTTTCATTTCCCCTTTACTTCCTCAGAAACCACTTGAGAGTGTTACGTTTAATACAAGGGCATGATTGTGGAAAAAACAGTCATTATAATTGTTGTGCTGAATGTTTGTTTTACTGCTTTTTTCCAGGGGAGGCTAAAGCCAATGCTCCCTGTGTGATCTTCATCGATGAACTGGACAGCGTGGGAGGGAAAAGGATCGAGTCTCCCATGCACCCTTACTCCAGACAGACTATCAACCAGCTGCTTGCTGAGATGGATGGGTAATGTCTTAAACTATCTGTTGTATTTTAGTTGAAATTAAAGCAAAGTTGGCAGGTCTTCTTGGCAGTATGGTGGGTTTGCAATGCACATGTGCACAGTGGGTGTGGCTAATGTTAAAATTTTCTGTCATGATATATGTAATTATATATTGTGATATCGTAAATTTGAAGAACTTTTAATGAGAAACCACAAAATAGCCATATTGAAATGTGCTTCCTTGGCTCATCTAGTAAATTAAATATATGACAAATATTACCTACCCTTTAGTGCAGTGTGGCCTGCATTTGACGTAATTAACTACAGATAATAAAGAACAGTCTTTAATCACTAATGCATACAGTACAGTTCAGAGTTGGTCCACACATAAAAAGGGAATAATCAGAGTATTTAAATTGCTGTGGTGAGAAAACACAACAGAAACAGTGTCCACAGGTCCTTAAAAAGTCTTAAATTCATTGTTACAACAATAAGGCCTTAAAAGTCATTGAATAGTCTTAATCTTGAATTTGAATTTGTGAGGTCTTAACTACTACAGACATTTTATTTAATTTCATCTATTAATTTTTTTAATTTCTTTTTGTGAAAATGAAGCCTTTCTATGTGAAATACTGTGGGCCTTTTCCTCTAACTGTTAGCTGCGTCCAGTCAAGCCATGCTGTGCAGATTTGTGTTCTGTTATCAGTTTAGACATGTGGTGTCATGCAGAGCTGTGCACCTACTTTTGGACCTACCTTCTGGAGTAGGTCCAAAAGCCGGGCTGCCCGCACTCAAGCGGGTAGTAGTGGCATCTCGCCGACCGCAGCCAACACCCAACCACCCCATTTCTCCCCCTCAAATAAGTTGTATGTACTGTGAGACTCTCCTCACCTCTGTCTGCAGGAGACCAGAGAGAAGGGCGTTTTTAAAAGTCTCTGTGTGTTCAGCTCTCAGTACATCTGTAGTTTCTAACTGAATCTCTGTGGTTTGGAATTTAGTTTGTCTCCTGCGTCCTGTTTGTACTTTAGATATCTGCTTTATTTTACTGTTTGATGTTCACTATCAGCCGTATTAGAAGTTGCTACTCGAAAACTCAACATTTCCTTATTTTGCTGCTTCACAATAAATGTTTTTACATAACAAAATAATGGAAGACTTGTATTGTGAAGAATCTATAGAAATTAAAATATATTTATTACAAATTAGCGGAACTTTATTAGCGGCTTTTCTTCAGTTAATACAAGTGTAATAATACGGCAGGGAGAAAGAGTAAAAGCAGAAACAGCCACAGTGAGATGTTGATGAAGAGCTGCAGACAACAGGCTCTTACTGCACCTTTGCAAACAGCTCACCTCCAACAGATAAACTTCTTTTTCCTGCTCTGCTGTGGAAAAAACAGGCAGCAAAAATAACAGGGACTTCAGCCGTGGATCAAGCTGCACCTGAACATGAAGCCCACTTAAAACAAAAGGAGAGTTACTGCATTGCTGACGCTGACCTTCCTGTACCCTGTGATACTGTTTTGTAGGTTTAAACCAAATGAAGGTGTGATCATCATCGGAGCAACCAACTTCCCAGAGGCTTTGGATAAGTATGTTTACCTCTGAGTCTCTTTCTGTCGCCTGTGAGAATGTCATAGCAAAGACTGGACTGCAACCTGAGGCTGTTTTCAGTGCAGCAGCACAGAGTCGTAAGCTGACACAGTATCTGTATTTCACTAACCAGCTGATCTTGTTTTTTCAGTGCCCTGATCCGCCCGGGACGTTTTGACATGCAGGTGACTGTTCCCAAACCAGATGTGAAGGGACGCACAGAGATCCTCAACTGGTATCTGAAGAAGATTAAAGTGGATCCAGGTGTGACATCAGCAACTGTTAATCCTGAATTCAGCCACAATAATGTTTCTCAGTTGTATTATTCTAGAGTATGATATTTTAACCTCTGAAAGACAGAACCAACAAATGTTGTATGCCTTGGCTTGGTTGTCCCATCACTCTGAACTCTGGATTTTTTTTAAGATGAAATCACAGGCTGAATGTTTCCTGTTAACTTTATTTAAACAGTAGTTTAGTCTGGGGTCCAGTCTGACTGTTTTTGAAAACCGTGAGATCCTTCTTGATGTCGCGTGTTATCTCTGCAGCTATTGAGGCCAAAATTATTGCCCGGGGCACAGTGGGCTTCTCTGGCGCTGACCTGGAAAATCTGGTCAACCAGGCCGCCCTGAAGGCAGCAGTCGATGGCAAAGACATGGTCACTCTGAAGGAGCTGGAGTTTGCTAAAGACAAAATCCTCATGGGTGAGTGATGAGGAAGCTTTGCTAGTTGTAGATCTAAACCCTCCACTTAACTGTCTGTATGGTTTTATCCGGCATGGCAAAAGCTTACTTACCATGACTAGGATTACTATCATCAAAGTCATGTTGAGAATGTGGTGATAGCCTTTTTTATTCTTTTTGTCTCACTTTTAATCCTCCTTTCTTAATGAAGTAATTTTATTTTTCTCTCTTCTTCAAGGCCCTGAGAGAAGGAGTGCAGAGATAGACAAGAAGAACAAGCTCATCACAGCGTACCATGAATCAGGCCATGCCATTGTAGCGTACTACACCAAAGATGCCATGCCGATTAACAAGGCCACCATCATGCCCAGAGGCCCCAGTCTGGGACATGTAAGGAAACCTAAAGCCAATGCACTAAATGGTTTAACTCTGCATGTCAAGCTTTGACACCAAGTCTTGTGCAGACTGTCATTTCTTTACCCACTCTCTCAACCCTTTGATTTTTTATCCCTCCTCTCTGTTCTTTGTCAGGTGTCCATGCTCCCAGAGAACGACCGCTGGAGTGAGACTCGCTCTCAGCTGCTGGCCCAGATGGATGTCAGTATGGGCGGCCGTGTAGCAGAGGAGATTATATTTGGCCATGAGTACATCACGACTGGTATGAAAGAAAGAAATGTTTTCACTTAAGAGGTAGAATGTAGTAAACTCTCTGACATTCTCTGACATGAGGAAAGGTGTTTTGCAGGCTGCAAATTTAAAAAGGCAACATGTAGCCCCTTTATCGACCACAGGAACATTCCCCACTGACTAGGAACCTTTTGAGGAAGGCAAGAACCAGGGTCTAAATTCAGTTTCGTAGACATTCTTTGGCCTCCCAATAGTCCCTGATTGGGTGTAGTACTTTATGAAGAACAGAAACTTTCAGGGTGGGTTTTGCATTGGCGACTGTCGCTAATCGGTCAAACACAGACAACGCTGCTGCTTCAACTTGTGAACCGCTTCATTCATAAAACAAGGAAGTACTTTCGTATCAATTTAGAACCATTTTAGGACAAAGGGAGCACATTTTTCCTTGTTTGATAACGTCACAAGTAAAGTGTGTCTTTGCTGTCTGCTTCATGACTCATGACTAGTATAATTTCTTGTCCAGGTGCATCAAGTGACTTTGATAGTGCCACAAAGATCGCCAAGATGATGGTGACCAGATTTGGAATGTGTGAAAAGGTACACTAACTTGAAAGGGACTTAAAAGGGTTCATAGTATTTGTACTGCACATGCATCACAGTCATTGTTTCCCCTTCCTGTCCCCCAGTTGGGTGTGATGACCTACACTGACATGACAGCCCAGAGCCCAGAGACACAAGCAGCTGTGGAGCATGAAGTCAGGGTGTTACTGAAGGTGGGTGTGATCTTTTATGTTTGGGACAGCTGATGAAAACACAACTCCACCAGCTTTTGTAAAACTGTCTTTTCTCTTGGCGTTCCCAGGAGTCTTATGAGCGTGCCAAAGCCCTGCTGAAGTCTCACACCAAAGAGCACAAGAACCTTGCAGATGCTCTGCTCATGTATGAGACTCTGGATGCCAAAGAGATCCAGTTGGTCCTGGAGGGCAAGACGCTGGAGACCAGATGAAACAGGCAAGGACGGCAACAATCGGGGAGTGACAGGGTGGGGGAAGGGGTCAGATTTTAAGAGCTCAGGGGTCATGAAGGAGGGATGGACTCAGTTCATGTGCAGAGAATCAGAGGAGTAAGAAGTGCTCATGTAGGACTATGTCATGTTTTCATGCTGTCACCTTTGTGTAATCGCATCAGTATTCCCAAATATGTAGTTCTGTCATGTGGCACTTAAGACTTTCCTGTGAAAAGAAAAAAGCAGGTGTGTGTTGCTCGGGTTCACTGTATGTGACGGATGAATGGATGCTGCTCAGGTCACTTTATCAGTTGGTGTGAGGTAATAACACATGAATGTAAAACAGCATCTGGGTGGGATTCTTTTTTTAATGTGAATTGTTGAAACAGGAGTTGAAATTTGGTTAAATTCTGCTCAGCCAAGTCTGTTTAGATTCCTGTTGTGTCAATGGGAAACACTGAGCGGCATGTATTTTAAACCCAAAGAGCTGCGGTGACGTCATCGCGACCAGACTTTAGCGAAATCCCAATTCCTCTGCACAATGTCCCTGTTAACTATTTTTAAAGGTGGCCTTTTGGGGAATGTACTTTGAAGGAGGAAGTGTACAAAGTTAAATTTTAACGTCTCAGCACTTTGGGTAAGCATAGAAAAAGCACTTGTGCACTCTTCGTGTAATTTATTTCATTGGCGCTTTGTGTACAGATGGATCAAAAACTGCTGCTCAGCCTCACATAGCATGCAACAAATACAGTCTGTGTTTATGTCGTGATAGAGCGTCGGGATCTTTAGGTTTTTAAGGTTGTCACGTTGGCCTAATTTATTTAAATAGAACAAAATATCACATTTCTTGTAATTGTAAATGAGTGGATTAAAGACTCTTAACCTGTAGATTATTTGGACACACAACAAGGCCAGTTTTCAGTTATTGTCCTTTGGCGTCTTCTTTGTCGTCACATTGAAGCAAAGACATTTTTCACAGTGCAGTGGAAGAAAGATGCCGATATTTATAAAGGAAGTTAAGCTGTAACAAATCCAATTGTGAAGTGACATCCTTGACTCTAAATATGACGTTTATTTAACACAGATTTTGGGGAGAAACTTGCAAAGTTGCGCCTCTCTAAAAATGTTCAATGTCCCAATTTCCAAGTGACTAGTTACAGCAGCAGCAGTGTACAGTATGTAATCCATATTTTAGCATTTTCAAAGATTTCATTTTAAGTATATCTCCTGTCCATAGTACCACCAGCATATGTTAAACATAGTGTGACCTTTTTCTGTTTTTTTCGCTTCTATTTGAGACATTATCTCCTCTGTTAATTGGCCTTGTAACCATGTTAAGCTGTATATATGACTGGGATGTAATGGGAACATTGTATATAGATGTATAGTAATGCTTTCATGCTGAGAACACGTTGAATGGCTCTCTGCTGTTGATTGACAGAGTCTCTCAACAATATGATGGTGATGATTGATGAATGTTTGTGCAGCAGAGATAAATAAAATGAAACCCATATTTAAAAAAACAAAAGGAAATTGTCTGTGGGGTCTGTGAGTAGGAGTACATGTAATGTGTAGTGTTTATTTGTACATACCAGTGAGTAAATGTACAAGGTTCACACTGACATATCAAAACAAAAGATTTAGAATTATCTGTTCTTTAGTACGACACTGACACAGAAAAAAAATCACAAAATGAGTATGAAAGTCAAAGAAATTAGTACATATATCTGTGGCATGTGGTAAAAATTGTAATTTCAATATAGGAGAATATTAACTTTTATTTATTTTTCTACCGTGATGGCACTCTCTACATAAATATTTGTAAATGTTCATAAAAACTAATTATTCCTGTTGCTGTGAATTTTTGCTTCCAACTGACAGTGTCACTACCAAGTTTTTTTTTTTTTTTTTTAAAGATATTTTTATGGGCATTTTTTGCCTTTAATTGATAGGACAGCAAAGCGTGAAAGGGGGAGAGAGAGAGGGAGAGACACGCAGCAAAGGGCCACAGGCTGGAGTCGAACCCGGGCCGCTGCAGCAACAGCCCTGCACATGGCGCGCCCGTTCCACCACCAAGCCACCGACGCCCCACTACCAAGTTTTTACAGTCTGGTTATTTGTTGCTAGTTAGCCTAACTTGCTAACGTCCCCTTTTGGAATGAAAGATGCCTCTCCCAAATGTTAATTGTTGTACTGGGACAGATGGCAGACAGTATGTAACCATAGACTGTTAAAAAAAAAAAAAAAAAAATGGACATAACCATTGGTTTAGGGCTGCCCTCTAATAGTTGACAAAACATTAGTCGACCAGAAAGGTCATTAGTCAGCAAAATTTTATCGTTTGCTTAATTGCAGGGGGGAAAAAAAGAAAGAAAATAAAGTGAAACTGTGTGACGTGACGTGCACTTGTAGATAAAATATAGGCCTATATTAATGAAGGTTCATTAGTACAGTTTTGTATTTCTCTGTAATGTAGCACAGTGTTAACAATGTTACTGATATTTTTTCTTTCTCACACCTTCAACTCAAACCATTGTGTTGCCCCGCCCAAAATAAATCATTTAATAGTTAAACTAATATCATAAACATGGTACCAGGTAACAGCCCTGAAAATTAGGGGCCTTACACATGCTGTCTTTAACCGCCTGGAAAATACGAGGTTGAGCGCTGGGTGCTACTGTTGTGCCTTTTTTGTGCCAGGTTTCAAGAACGCAGAAGAAGTTAGCGTTTGAGATTGCTAAGCCACCTTAACAAGTATTGTCTAGCCAATTTACCTGTAAAGCTCTGGGTGGCCCTGCACTAACATGAACAGCTTTTCTGTATTTATCAGACTGAATATTTACAGAAGAAGGGAAAGATATCTGTCGGCTGTGATTGGTTTGTAACGTGACTCCTGTCTGACTGCTGAGTGTGGAGGTGCAGCTCCTAACAGAGTTTAATGGGTTTTTTTCTGCGACTAAGCAACCAATAAAATCTTGCCGACTAATGACCTTTCTGGTTGACTAAGGTTTGGTCGACTATTAGGGGGCAGCCCCAAAAAATTCAAATTTGAGTTCGACTCTTTAAGATTTCATTCACAAACTAAACACGATCCCCACTTTAACACCACTTTCCACAGCCTCCACACAGAGTCAGAAACACTGGAATGAACACTAAGCTGTGGAGCAGCCCGAATGTAATCACAAGAAACACGATCTTAAAGAACGTCCTGAAGATGTAACTCCCAGACATGGACAGCACCACCACTCCTAAAATAGTGGACAGCGCTCCTTGCAGTATCGGATAGCCTAAACGGGCCAAGGCATCTGTAGCTTTCTCATTGACATCACTCTTGGAGCTGGAAACAAAAGAATAACAAATATGTGCTGAGAAGTCTACAGAAAACCCGATGCACATGACGAGGTTGATCATGGAGATGGAATCCAGGTTTACACCCCACAGTGCCATGAACCCCGTCACTCCAACAATGACTGAACAAATTGCGAACGCCACCCACATGGAACAAAGAGGACTGGGTATGAGGATGAGTGAGACTACCAGCATCACAACCACAGCCACCAGGATGGTCTGAACGGTGTTGTCCTTGATGACAGTGTACTGGTCAAAGAAGATGAAAGCAGGGTGGTACACCAGGAGCTGTACTGGACACTTGTCTGCTGTCCTCCTGAGTCTAACCATCATGTCCTTCGGTGTGGTATTGTTGAGTGTCTGAATAAAAAAGCGAGAGGCCTGAATCTTATTGTCTGCAGTGAAGTTGATGTCTTGTCTGAACATGGACTGGAGCTCTAAGAAATGGGTCAGATGAGTTTGGAAAGCCTCTTGAGATCCGATTCTGAGATTGGTTGCATTTGCGTACTCTTCAAAAGAAAGAAACCAAGCAAACGTGCCATTGACAAAATTGAAATCCTCAAAGTTTGAAATGCATGAACGCAGATGCTCCAGTTCACCCTTGTCCCAGTACGAGATCGGCTGCTTCACCACTACCATCACATTATAGCTGTATTTGGAGAAGTGTTGCCTTTGATTGTTGTAATAATTGACAACGTAGGAATCGTCCGAAGCAAGATTCCTTCTGTCGAGTCCCTCCTGTAAGATAAAACAACCATAGATGCTAGCAGCCAGATAGCATGCGTAAATGACAAAGACACATGCTTTCACCCATTTGTGGGTCAGAAACGGACCGTAGAACCGCTCAAACATTTGACTCATGGGCTCAGTGTCCTCCATCTCGGTGATTCGATCGTATCGCCCCCCAACGCAGCACACACTGAAGGCTTTCGAACTCCTGGAGGGTAAGTCTTCCGGGACTTTGGCACAGGTGAACCAGTGCTTGTTCTCTGCCTCCCTCTGTCCGTTCAGAGCCATACACGCTCCCAGGAAAGTGATGCTGTACAGGTAGCAGAAGCAAATAGAAATCCCAGCGTACAGGCAGAAGGACCGGACAGAACCAAAGGGCGAGGTGTAGCCCAGGAAGAGAGCCAGAGCATCGGTCAGGGTGGTGATGGTGATGGAGACAGAAGCGTGCTTGTAGGTGTAAGCCAGCCGGTCGGGGACGCTGTCCAGGACGCGGGTCCTCTGCCAGCAGGAGATCATGATGAACATATCATCGAGTCCAATACCTTGAAATTGAAAGGAGAAAGCGAGTTTTGTGTAACATCAACTGAGGTTATGTGACTTTGTCTTTCTGAATGACCTTTGTCAAGATCTGCTTTGCAAGGACTATACCTGTTTTTGAAAGTTTTAGCTCTTTAAGTACAAACGGTGTCTAGACTACTTTGCATTTTGCTGATTACTTTCAAATGCAGCTTTTGTTGTCCTAATTTTTGTTCTGTTTCAGGCAGCCATTGGTTTCCATTTATGGCTGTTCATCATGACAATTGATAGGCGTTTGCAGACCGCAGAAACTTTTTCATAGTTCTAAGAACATCCGTTTATATTGTGGCCGCACTGCAAGAACCAGGGACAATCGTAGTTCTTATGTTGTGTTCACACCAGGCGCTAATAAAAGAATTCATGCAAGTGAATTACATGTAAAGTCAATGTCATGATGTGATCAGACGCAAATTCCTGCCGGGCTGCTAATGTATGCAATACGAATGACGTGAAGTACATTAATTAAGTGGAGCGAATTAAGCAAGTAGCGTGATTTCGTTTCACACGCTTATTCATGAGAGTTGAGATCTTCCAGGGACTTATGACGCTGAGGACATACTGGCGAAAGTTCATTCAGTGATTCAGTGATTTCACATGCGTATGACACAAGTTATTTGTGCGTTAGTCTCTATGTACAGACTCTACATTCAGTGAATATAGAGTCTGTAAGCAAACCCCGGAAATCTTGCCTCCGGAAGAAGAGCAGAAGAGCCCTGGTTTCCAGTGCTAGGCTGTTTGTATTCCATGTGATATTGATCAATCACGTTTGAGCCAGCTGCAGTTGTTGCCAGGTTAAACGCTCTGTGCAGTGAACTAACGAGGCGGAACATAATTGGCGTCACTGCAAACTCTGAATCCATCGCAATGATTCAGCATATTTACTTAAATATAAACGGAAGTTGGAAACGGAAATTCACCTCCTCAAACCGGAATGCCAAAAAATCGGGTCTGCCCCCAGAGGCTGTATCGCTGTCCGCCGGAAGTCAGACGCCAAATGCAGCCGATGGGTTCCGAGAATGTTTGTGCGTATGAAGTGAGTCAACACAAAATATTCTAGCGTTCAAACTTGCACAAGTAACACAACACGAAAATTCGCATTGCATTTGGTGTGACCTCAGCATTATGGTCTTTTTACACCTAGTCAGTATTTTGCGAATGTATTTTTAAAATTTGTCATCTGATAAAAATTGTTACACACAGAAACCTTGAACACTGAGTCTGATGAGTTTAATTGTTCTATCTGTTGCAAAAATCCACAATATAAGACAAAATGTAAAGACACATTTGCTGTGCAACTTAGTGCTGGGAAGTGAAAACATTGGAATATGTAATTCTTGTATACTCAAAATTGTGCAATGAATGCCATGTCATGTCAGTGCAGGTTTTATTTTTAAGATTAATAGAAAGTAATGTTGTTTTTTGAGGTTTTTTAATGGACCTACCCAATATCATGAAAGGACAGGAAGCAACTGTCATGACAAAAGGTTGATCCAGCAACAGCAGAGCACCGAAACCACTCAGGACCGCCAGACCCGTGGAGAGCACCCCACAGGTCGCCACCCACACCTTCGTCCTGATATTATCCAACCTGAAAGAAATAAGAGAACAAAAAGAGCCATACATCCAAAACTCGTCACATTAAATGTGCAGCAGATTTTTTTACCAACCTCCAACATGATATGATGGAAAATGTGATGGCAATGGCGTAAGTGATGGAGAATAAAGAGATGACAGAAGCTGGAGATTTCTTGAATTCCCACTGCATTGACATGGAGGTGGAGAATGACACCTAGAGAGATTATTAATACATTTAACAGAAGCCACTTAACGGTCCAGTGTGAAAGATTTAGGGGCATATACTGGCAGAAATGGAAA